AGATGATGCAGCACTAGAGACTCGAACCCGTGGCGTGTTGATTGTAAGTTCAAAACGCCAAGTCACGGACAGGTTGTCCTGCGGGTTTCGATCGCGAATATTAACACTGTTGGAGGAATGCGCACCAATCGGTTACGAGATTGACTCGTCTCGTTTTTGTACTTATCGTCAGCGGGCTACTGACATAATACGTGGCTTGCTGGGGGTAGCGTGTTTGCTTAAAATGTTTTGATACAGTGAAACAAATTTTAAAAAAACAACGCTTTCGGCGAGTTGTCCAGCACAAGAAAAACCTATGACGTTCTGCTGATCTTCAAACGAATAATGAGAAGGGGTAGCTAGTGAACTCAAAGTGGACATTATAGTCCTTGCAATTTTAAAAGGAAACCACGAGATGTCACTAGTTTGAGCGATTCGCACTAACATAGAACACTAAATCCGATACTTACGGCCAGTATGGCAATCATGTTTTGCTTAAAAATGCAAACTATACGGCCAGACATTTGCAACTCTGTGTTGCATAATTAATCTCTTAATGGTTGGGCTCTCAGTAGACGTCGTACTTGAGAAATGTTTTTATTTTATTTTAAGAATAGTAGCTTAGACCTCCATTGTGGTGGGCTGCAGATATCCACTGTTATGATGTGCCCTGTACTTGATAGTAAAATGTGGATAATAGGCCAGACCGTGCATATGAGTGGTCAAGAGTCGGCTGTGCAAATGCTTATGGCCGAGAATTTACTGAACCTCCGTTTGAAAGCTTGGAGAGACAGTTGAAACATTTCATACACACGAAACACTTAATTTGGATTTCAAATGGCATTCTGCTCATCCAGGGTCATCGAAAGCTTAATGAGTCTGCTGAAAACGTAGAATTCCTACCCAAAGTTTCTATATTGCGGTTTAAACACTCAGAGCATACTTTAAACGCTGTCTAGATATATTTTTTTACGCTGATATCCGGTTTCCCCTCAAGAGCTTTGTAAATATTCCATAGAAAATATTTTGAATACTTCTAAAACGTTCAAACCTGCCTTTGTGGAAAACATGTAGCTGATTGTGAGTGAGGTACTCAGCAGATTAAACTCACCTTCTTAGAAACTCTTAACTGTTGACATTTTGTGCGTACGAACGAAAAGGGGGGCAAATGGAGTTTTTGTTCGCTGAGCCCCAGTTAGTTTTAGGATAAGAAAACAAGTACATTGAGATCTTGTCACGCTTAATCAAAGCTGTAAATTTGAATATGGTATAGTAGCATGTAAATAAATGTTGAATAATGATTTACGAATAACGAAAATCGTACATTTGGACAGGGTTAGTAAGTATCTTATGATTATGAGTTGTAATCATAAGACACATAATAACCATCTCCAACTGGGTTTTCATTATCCATGCAACTGCACCAATTCGATGATGAACTGCTGAAAATATCTATTACGAATATTTAGAGTTAGGAACGGTCATTCGAACCGTATTTGGTCTGTAATTTGACGAGTGTCTGTACTGAAAACATCATGATTTATAACCATGTATTTTCTACTCGGTGGCTATTTGACTTGTCCAGATTAAACTGGAACTTGACAAATTCTGGCAGTTACATGGTCTCCGAGCTTCCAGCGCAACTTGGTTAATTCCGTTTACTGAAGAAGTCACATAAAAGCACACTTATTCGTTTATGCTGATATGCCTGTGAGTTTCCAGAGCCACTAGCTACATGCAAAATGGGCGTTGTGAGAAAACTAGGAGGAAAATTAAGCCCGTTCATGGTCTGCCAAATTGGGGCCTGACTCTACGATGAGAAGAAAGGTCTGCTAGAAATCGGTTTGGTTTAATCAGACCAAGCCAAATGCACAGTTACACATGCATACATACACACATCTACGTCTGGTCAAAGCCATGTGCTGCTGTGTTTGTATATTTATTTTTGCGTAATCTGGCCAGGTGAAGCATTTGTAGGCGACCGCGTGCGCGCGCTCGAGAGAGAGACAAGGAGAGAAGCAGGTCGGCCTAAGAGGTGAACCGGAGGTCCAACCCGGACAATAGCAAGGCCGGAGCGTGACCAAATGGCCGAAACGTAAACAAAGCACCACACCACTCCCTATCAGCGAGTTTCTCAGTTTCCGCCTGCAAGTGGGACCAACATTACAGTCTGTTTATGGCTGTCGTTGGCACACGACCCCGGCGTAGCTGGCTGGCACCAGCAATCAAGACTTAATTCCGTAATACTTGGCGCGGGCGGCGAGGTGAATGGAATTAAATTTAAAACAAAAAGTGATTTCCGTTATGAAACGAATGAGGGGTAGAAGCCTTGTCTTAAGCACACATTTACGCACGCCGAT